TTTCTTATACAAAAATTGAGCTTAAGTAATTCCCAATATCACACAGGGAGAGCCGAGATTGGACTCCATTTCTGCCTGACTCCAAAACTCATGCTTTCTCTCATATTACCTGCTGAAGAGTGAATCAGAGCTTGAAGGATAAAGTGGCATATGGGCAGATGTCTTGGTGGGTAGGTAGGTTTTAAGGTGGGAGTAAGAACTGCATATCCTATTCCAGCCTAATATTTTTCTCAGCTGAGGAACAGGTGGGTGTGAAATCTACTGTCAAGAAATTGTTTTTGTTCTTTAGGAGACCCAGTTCTGGCGACATTTACCGGAAAGAAATTCCAACTAGCTTTGTTCTTGTTTCCTGCATTCTTTAGTTTGGGAAATCTATCTTCTTTTCCATCACGCCTTTGCCTAGCTAGACAAGGAATAGTCTCCCAGTGCTGATTTATCCTTCCTCTCAGTCATTTTCTAGAATGGTGTAAACTTTACAAAACACCATGGAAAATATTAAGCAGTGGCATTCAAACTTAAACTCCAAGCCATTAGTATACTCTGACATTTTAGTGAGTAATAACCATCCATTATCTACCCCGCCTCCCCCACCCCCCTATTTTTTTTTAAAGGAATGGAGTTAGAAATAGCTGGAAACATTGCAATAAGGTATAGTATCCTATCATGTGTGTTTTTGTTTTCACACTGGACTATGAAGTAAAATAAGTAAAATGTATTTATGATAGTGACAGCCATTTATTTAAACAGTAATAAGGTCTATTTACAAACCAAGCATGAAAGCCCCTTCCAACTGGCAAGAATGGGAGCTGGCATCAGGGGCAGGGAGCTACTAGACAAAAGCTTTCTCAAGTCTGGGAAACAAGTCTCTCAGACTGCTTGCTTAATCATCGCATAGCTGGAGAGCAGTTTAATGCCTGCAGCATTTTTCTAGAAGTGAGATGAACAGAAATTGGAGAGAAAAACACGGCAGTTATCTGTCAGCAGAGGAGCTGTGGGGTGCAGGCCTACCCAGCCCAAAGGCACTCATTGAAAAAATTTCCTCTTCAGAAGAGGGTGGTTGTAGGCTCTCTCTCAAAGTGTTCCTTTCCAAATAGAAATGTATATTGCCTGGCCTCAAAGGATATAACTTCTGTAAAGATATGAGTGGGGAAATGTTTCCAATTAGTATTGTTCAGTCCTTAAAAAATCTTTATTTTTTCTTATTCCCTGAATCTGTCTCTTGTGCAGTTTTTAGTGGTGTTTGGAAAACTGGCTGCCAGTCTTGATGGGGCTTGCTATGGTACTATGTCGGGGTTCAGTTTTAAGTGCTGGTGGGGAAGGAGGAAGATGCAACTGTGTGAGGTTGGAGGGAAACTGGCTAAATCAGACTGAGCAGTATTTCCTTTGAGGAAAAGAAATACCTAGATGTCCAGTATTTCCTTTGAGGAAAAGAAATACCTAGATGTCTTCAGGTTTGCTTTGTGTGTGCATCAGTGTGCTGTCAGATCTAGAGCAGTCCTAAGGACCCTATATTCAAAACCTATCTTGAATTCATTTTTATAGACAACAATGACAGTGTCAACTTTTTTTTTTTTTTT